TAGATAACAAAACAGAAATGTGCAAAGATACAACTCATAGTTGAATAAGACAACCAATTTTATCTTTTATTCGCTCATTCGGTATAAATTATTTAGTCGAAACGATTTCTATTTATTTACTTTTCTTAAAACCACTATCGTTTAATTATTATTATTTTTTACTTTACAATTTTATCAACACAATTAAATAATAAAAATCCGTACATTACTACCCAATTTTTAACAATATTTCTTATTCGTTTGCTCGCATATTTTTAACTCTAAATGATTAATATTTATTATTATTATTCTATGACATATAATTTATTTTCTACAATTTACCTGATTTTCATTCACAATCTAAAAAGCAATCAATCCATGCTTCACCAAAAGCAGTGTTAAAAACTGGGAGAGCTTTGCCGCCCTTATAGTCCTATCCGGCTCTATTTCGAATTAGTCGGTTCCCTTGTGAATCTGGAAACTGGAAGGTCTAAATAAAAAAAAAATTATATTCTTTTTCTACTCTTTATCCCCATTTTTTTTTTATGGGAATAATGCACTCTTTTGTTTTAAGAAAACCTCTGCATCTCTCCTCCTTCTTCTTTTTGCAGTTTACAGATTGACAAATTTACAGAGACAACACAGTGACACGACAAATCTTGTCTTGTAATAGATATAAGGTGCTGCTACCTTTGAGGGCGATGGTTTCTTGAGGATACGATTATTTTTTCTTTAACTCAGTTCAATCTCCGTAAAATTTAAGGTGCTTCCTTACTTTATCCATAAAAATTAAGGTTGCCCATCTCTTGATTTCGTTCGTTCTCAACCTCATATGTAATAATTTATTCATTCGATGTTCTTTTAAGATTCGATTTTTCTGCCATGGAAGATATTTTTTCGTGTAGAACGATTGCACCTTGTTTGTGAGTTCTGATATTTTTTCCATACGCTGATGTTTATTCATTTAATTATTAAATGGAGCTGGAAGAGTCCATGTTGACAATTCTTCTGGCATCGTGCAAATAATGGACTAGATCAAAATGACTCAATTAAATTCTAGTGCTTCTTCTATTAGTGAAGTTTCTAGAAAAAATATATCAAACGACGCAACGCACCTTGGGTCGCTATGGAAACAGCCTCCTTGTATAATTACAAGGGTAAGGTCTGCGTACCACTGACCCCCCTGACCCCAACCTGTTTGGGAATATACTGGGTATGTTGATGATGTTGATGTATTATTGTCGTGTGTCAGTTTTGATGGCTGCTGGCGATTTACGGGCTTTAGTCAGATTGGGACGGCCCGAATTTGTTTGAAGATCTTCATGCCCATTTTTTTTTTCCCTTCAGCAGGTGATAGTGAAATCTCATATGATATGTGCTTTGTTGTCTGTTACTTATTTATAGCATCAGTAGTTTTTATTGTATTTTCATCTCAACCCAAATTCCCTCTTTAGTTTACCTATGTTCTTTTGGCAATTGAAATCTGTATGGATGCTTCATTTACTTGGGCAAGATTTTGAATTGATATATAAAGTATTTAGCTCTTCTATAAACTTTTTAGTTCTAGCATTTTGTGGTTTGAGCAATCTACCTATTCTTGAAAATTATTCTGTTTCGTACCGGTATTATTGATACTTCAACGTTAGAGCTTGATTCTGTTTCTTATCCTGTCCATTTCAAAACCATATAGCCCCTTCTTGTTTGTGGATTTAAAAAACTGAAAAGAACATATATGCTGCTGGTTTCTTGTTAAAAATTCTAGTTTCTTTTATCTTCATGTTAATTTGTTTCAATTAAACGGAATCCTGTGTAGATACTTCGCGCGCTTACGTGTGGGTGCCACATTATATGAGGTTAAATGAGCTGATATTTGATATATGAAGTATGCACAGGCGCTTAAAACAGCTTTATGAGCCAAAAAGTTATCTGCGAAATTCCCAGTTCACCATAAATTCAGACCATTCATAGGCCTCAAGTGTGTAAACATTCTTTACTTTTTTCCAATCCTTTGCAAACCTTTGATGCTTTTCGCATTTCTTATGTATATCCTACACTTAAATCCCGTAAAAAATGGAAAAATCACAACCCTTTTATTAACACCTATGAAACCGTGTTTGATCCACATAGCAAGAAGCCCAGAGTGACCAAAACCGAAAACAAGAAAAAAAAAGGCAAAATGGAGCAGAAAGAGCCGAAGACATTTCTAACGGTGGCCCCATTCGAGTGTGCGTGGCTTGAAGACCTTCCTTTCAAGGAGGCTGGCCGTGGCTGTGTGGCTTTTGATGCCTTTGCCCACAACGATGTCACTGTAGTCTTCCGGGAGAAAACGGGCAGCCAGCATTACCACTACAAGCGTGACAACAGTCCTCACTACACTGTCATCATCGGCAGTCACCGCAACAAGAGGCTAAACATCGAGGTCGATGGGAAAACTGCGGTCGATGTGGTAGGCATCGACCTCCACTGCTCGTCTGCCTTTCAGAGTTACTGGATAAGTGTGTACGATGGGCTCATCAGCATCGGCAAGGGGCGCTACCCTTTTCAGAACCTCGTCTTCCAGTGGCTCGACTCGAACCCCAACCGAAGCGTGCAGTACGTGGGGCTCAGCAGCTGGGATCGCCACGTGGGGTACAGGAACGTGAGCGTGCTGCCCCTCACGGGGAATCACGTCTCCCTGTGGAAGAACCCGGATGATGGTGATGATGAGATTGAGGAGGGTGGTTGTATTGGTGGGGATTTCAAGAATCAGGGGCTCGGAATTTTTCTGGAGAGTTGGGAGCTGTCTGACGTGATTTTTCTGGTTGGGGAAGAGGAGAGGGTCGTGCCGGGGCATAAGGTGGTACTGGCGGCGACTGGGAATTTTAGGCTGAGCTCGTCGGGGGAGAATGTCGTGCAGCTGGAAGATTCTTCATACCCTGTGGTTCACGCGCTTCTTGAGTATATCTACACGGGCAACACGAAGGTCAGTTGTGTTTAATATTCTTTTTAATGTACAAAGTTGATTTTTTTTGTATATTCTGTCATGTTTACGGCTTAGTTTCAGAAATGGACTTAGAGGAAAAGTTGTGTTTGAAAGTTTCAATTTAACTGCTTGCATCTGCTCAAAATTTCCTGAAGTTCCTCTTCAAGGGTTATTCTCCATTTTCTAACAGCTGCTCTATTTATGTCATTGGTGTAGGTTTTATGTTGGAGATGAGGTTCTGATTATGCTTTTATATTCACATTTTTTTCTTATAACAAATGCACTATTTTCTTTGCTCTATTCACTATTCACTGAGAATGCTAGTTCAACTAACGACTTCTGGACTGTAGTTTAACAAATTCTTTTGTGCTTATGGCCTAGCTTGGGATATGGATTTGGAGGAAAAGTTACTTTTGATACTGCTACGTTTTGAACTTTTGATATAACTTATCATTTATTAGTCGATGTTTATTGCTTTTAATTTTGTAGAGGTCATCTTTAAGGGTTGTTCGACGTTTTCTGATAGTTTTGCTATGTATATTGTCGCCATAGGTCCCTGAGTCGCAGCTCAGTTCTCTAAGAGATTTGAGTTTACGGTTTGAAGTAAATACATTGGCAAGACAGTGTGAAGAGATGATTGAGCGTTTTAAACTCAACAAGAAGCTTTTCGACTCGGGAAAATGTGTGGAGATGTCATATCCAAGTGCTCGGCTGAACTGCTCTGCTGTGTTCCTGAACAGATTGCCCATTGATGTCAAACGGCTTAATAGTTTTCGGTTGACCAGTGAGTACAGTGACGTGGACATTTATATTGAAGGCCATGGTCTTGTTGCACGGTCGCATAGAATTATACTTAGCTTATGGAGTTCCCCGTTTACCAAGGTAGTGAACTAGGTGACTCATATAAAGTTAGTTTTTACTTGTTTGCTACTTCTCCTAGGGAAAAAAAAAATAGATGTTAAAGGGTGTCATCGTACTTCAGTAAAGATTCTCAATGCTAGGTAACGGTCATGACATAGGGCGAGTAGATTTTATGAATTTTCATTATCAATATCAAATTAACCTGAATATTAGTCAAGAAAGTGCTGTATGATTGGAAAAAAAAATTGATTTACCTAAAATAACTGGTATCATCGAGATTTGCTGATTAATATGATAAAATGCATATGCAGATGTTCACAAATGGAATGATTGAAAGTGTTTCTCCAAAGATCTTCTTGAAAGATGTCTGCTCTGAAACATTTAAGATTATGCTCGACTTCATGTACAGCGGTGAAATAAATCAAGAAGATATCACGGATATTGATATGTTGCTACTTCAGCTTCTTCTAATGGCAGATCAGTTTGGAGTTTCGCTGCTTCATCAAGAATGCTGTAAACGACTTTTAGAACACCTATCTGAGGTAATACGGTAGATTTTGTCTTATTATGTTTACTCCTTTAGTGAAGCCCTTATGTTTAAAAAGTACGAAGAAAATGGTGGAGTTAACGGCTGTGTGAAGACGGACAGAGACAAGTTTTGATAAATAAAAATAAACAATTGATCCTCTTATGTGTATATTACATGCAGGCTCGGAGTTCTCTATTGGCAGAAGACCATTCTACAAGTATTTGTATTGTGCCAAACATAATTGGATGAGGAGAGCGGACAAATTTTGGCACAATGTTTTTAGGTCGTTGTTCTGTGTGGCTAACTGTAGGACTTTGTTGCAGGACTCAGTGTGCCAAATTTTGCTAGTTGTTCAGTCCGTACCTTCTTGTAAAATAATTGAAGAAACATGCGAGAGGAAATTCGCCATGCATTTTGATTACTGCACAACTGCAAGCATCGACTTTGTCATGCTAGACGAGACGTCATTTCGGAACATTCTTCAGGTAATTCTTTTTTTTTTTTGTAATGTAAGCTTACAAGTCTGTCTGTGTGAGATGCTTCGGACTCTATTTGTTGGGAACAGTATCTCATGTCAAGAATTGTTCTTTTGCAGCATCAAGATTTGACGGTAACTTCTGAAGAACGAGTTCTTAATGCAGTCTTGCTGTGGTGTTGCGAAGGAAAAGAGTTGTTTGGATGGGAAATTATAGATGAAATGTTGCTGAATGCACCAGAAAACGTTTTTCGTGAAAGGCTCAAGTATCTCGATGGATTTTTAAATTTGGTGAGGTTCCCTTTGCTGTCTTCTTCAGTTCTGCAAAAGGTACGCTCTGAATGAACCTTTGTTTTAAATTTATCTATCGAGTCCATGAGAAGTTTGTCCGACTATTTTCTAATATACCAAATTGTTCGTTCAATTTCAGTTGGAGAGAAGCAACCTCAGCACGTGCATCCCTACACTCAGTAAATTGGTAAATCGTCTTCATCATTTACGGTATTTATTCCATTTGGATTTTTCTATTTACTTAAAAACCGATATTTAACAGGTGAAAGAAGCCATTGGGTTTTTGGAATTCGGGTCTTCTGCAAGTGATGATAAAGATGTAAAGTAAGTAATTAATTATGAGGTTAAATCTCGAAAAATACCTGTCGTATTTCCCCTGTTAGTCGTACTTTATCTTCAAGTTCAAAAGGTTATGGTAATAACATAAATAAATGAGCACGAGTGCTGTTACTACAATTTTAACACAGTTTCTATCTGGAACTAGCTTATATATTGTCATTAGCTTGCACTGCAAGCTTCTCATTCGCGCGTGAAGGGGGGGGAATATCGAGTGGCAGATGCCCCTTATTTGTATTAGCCCATTTTTCAGACATGCAACACACGTATAAAATTGCACATTCTTGATTTCAAGATAATTTTCAATAAAATCGAGAGAAACAAAATGAATTTTGTATACTATTAGTGACACTAATTAAATTCCCAATTTGCAGCAAATACCAGCACAGGAAATCAAGTTTTAAAGAACTCCAGTATATATGCGACGGTGATAGCAACGGAGTCTTGTACTTTGCAGGCACATCCTATGGGCAACATCAGTGGGTAAATCCTGTTTTATCCAAGGTAAATAATCTTCTTTCACATACTACTCTCTCTCTTTCTCTCTGGACCAATAATTAATTTCTTGATCTGTTCTGTCCAATTACCTCCAAGAGAGTAATCGTTACTGCAAGTAGCCCGATTTCCAGATTCACAGATCCTAAGGTTTTAGCCTCGAGGAGTTACCAGGTAACAATAACTTATCCACCGGAATAAA